CTGAGTGTTCGATAATCCTCATCCTAAAACTGCCCAAAGGAATTAAAACACAATGATGACATTTATTTTCACTCACTTTAAATCCACTCGAATGAATAGTAGTGTTATTTCTTTAGTATTAAAAGGAACTTAAAATCAAAGAACACAGATGGCTAAATGTAATAATGAAAAGCATATAGAAATGGGGTTTGAATTTATGCCAGTTTGGCAGCAACATCTGACAGCTCCCTGAGTCTGTAGTTTTTATAGATTGTCTATGTTATCTCCCCAAATAATCTGTGGCTGTTTCTTAAAGAAAAAGAAGTAAAAGGCAATTTTCAGAATTTTAAGCATTGTGTATATAAGGATTTGGGTTTTCAGCTAATTCAATTTTTGAACAATCAATCAAGTCTAACCTAGTTTTTCTCTTTGTTTCCATTAATACACATGTAATTGATCTCATTCTATTTACAGGTCACAATCTTTTGAAACCAATTCTAACAACAGCAGAAACTCTGTTATCCAAGCTTGAAAATTCTCACTAACTCATGAGTTAAGAAAGCTGTGACAACACTGTCCATTTATCACAAATATCTAATGATTTGGACATGATAAAATTTCAAGAGATAGGTGAAAATCTTTTACAAAGAAGAAAAGAAAGGGAATAGGCTGCTCGAGAAAGAAATTGAAGATCAATTCCCTATTGACTTAGAAATACTGAGACAGTTAATTTGGGGTACACAGTTAATTTGGGTATACGCTTCTGTGTACAATGCTGTATATAGTGCCAGAAAATGGAAGGGAGAGATTTCTCCTAGAACTCAGTGAAGAAGTTGGAGAAACAAATTTACATTGTCAGTAACACTTTAACAATAAATAATATGACATCTTTTAAAAGTCATTGAGGAATTGAAGAAATACATATTCCATTATTATGTCTGTAGTGCCTTTTTTTTCAAATAATATATCTGCTTTTAAATTCTCACTTTTTGAAATACATATTTGCAATGTTGCTGAATACTGAACACTTACAACAATTACAGCAAAATAGCTAGGACAATCAAGCCCTGAAGTTTTGATTTGTGAAGCTTCAGTGAACTTTACAGTTTTCTAGACCAATATAAAGTCAAATTAAGACAAAAATATCCATCTTTTCTAACAACAGTGCTTCCTTCTAATTACATACTTTTATTATTTTTTTGTTTGATGTATCATATGTCCAAATGTATGTGAAGTGCTTTCCATCAATGTTTATTATATTCAGACTACAAACCCGAAATGCTGGTCTCATATATCACTTTATGTAGAGGAAATTAAGACTTTGAGATGTTAGCAAATAAAACTAAGCTGAGTTGTTTGCTTGATGAGCAAGAGAACTGGAACACGAATAAAGTGCAGAATGTCTTCCTAAGAGCTGAATAAAGGAACAAGACACACTGAATTGTTCTTTAGGTTCATTTTTACATTTCACTTGGCCATTTTTCTGGTTTACAGCATTAGGTCACAGTTGCTGATTTCATTGTGGATCTTCATGGGTGTATAAGGTTCTGTAAAGAGCACACATTTGGGATTTGGCAGGTCTTTTTTGTAGAAGAGCAAATAAATTCCTTGCCCAGTGTCACTCAGGGGCAACTGCAAGTACTGAAATCTAAACAATATTGTTGCATTATAAAGTCCTTGCTTTTGTGTGTTTGTGTTTTGCTGTGTTAGCAAACTAAACTCTCAGCTTGAAGCAGCTATTTTAAATTTTAATTGTACTCCAAAGGTACAGTAAAACTTCTGGGAATTTCTTGTCCTTTACTGCTTCTACAAGTTCAGATTTTAGCACCAGCTTTCTAAACAAGAATGACAACACTGAACCCACTGAACCATGTTTAAGAAGCTTTAAGAGCTTGTAAAACAATGTATAAAAATATGTGGTTTGAAGGCTTATTCTTTAATAATTTTTGGAATTATGAACATTAAACTGATGATTCTTTACATAAAATATTGTTTGTTTGTTCAACTACTTATATGTCAGTCTGCTACTTTAAAAATAATAAATAATCTAGGTGCCAGTGGCTCATGCCTATAATCCTAGCTACTCAAGAGACAGAGATCAGGAGGATCGTGGTTCGAAGCCAGCCCAGGCAAATAGTTTGCGAGACCCTATCTTGAAAAACCCATCACAAAAAAGGGCTGGTGGAGTGGCTCCAGGTGAAGGTCTTGAGTTCAAGCCCTAGTACCCCTCCAAAATAAATAAATAAATAAATAAATAAATAAATAAATAAATAATCTAATCCTCCTAAGAAGCCAAAAGGTAGCATTGTCATTGTCATTTTTTTCAATGAAGGCACATAAAGATTAAATAGATTGTCCACAATCACAAAGCTAGTGCTGGATCTAAGAGTGGCCCTAGGTGGTCTGACCTCAAAGATTATGCTCCTTATTTATTTTGTTTTAAATACAACTTTCCCCTCCTTTATTTATTTATTCCATCAATATGATTCACTCCCAGTGTGGCAGTGAGAACCTATACCTTCTCCTGGTGTGTTTAAATAGACTGTATGATTGTAGAGTGGGAAGAAAGGCATGTATAAGATGGTGCAAAGACCTTGGCCTGAAGAATGAGATTAATCTCAATTTAATTATGGCTCCAGTACTTTCTAAAAGTCACTTATTATTTATTCATTTATTCATATGTGCATGCATTGTTTGGGCCATCTCTTCCCCTTACCCCCTGCCTCCTCCCTTTCCTCCTCAACCCCTGTCGCTTCCAGTCAGAACCCATTCTGCCTCTTCAATTTTTTTGAAGAGAAGACATAAGCAATAATAAGACAGACATAGCGTTTTTGCTAGTTTAAGATAAAGATAGCTATACACAGAGATTCCTAGCATCGCTTCCATGCACATGTGTGTTACAACCTGAATTGATTCATCTGTGCCAGACCTCTTCACTACTTCCTGGTCACCTTCCCATAGTGGCCTTATCATCAGTTACATTGCTGAACAAAATGATAACTACCACATACTTCCAGCACAGAATGAATTGGTGCCAATAAGTCTTGCTTCTAACCAGTATGCCTAAAAATATTTTCATCACCCAGACTTCTTGTAAGGTTGCAATAAAATCAAATCCTGGTACCACATGGAGCTTCATACATGTTGCAGATTATACACCAATGCTGGTCTCTCATGCAACTGAGTGTGAATTATTTTTCTTTAATGAGCAATCTCTAAGGAATCCTGTTAGTAAGAGTAGGTCAACTTCTCCAAACTTTAGTTCAATATATTGGGCTGGCTGTTGGTTTCATCTTTACATTTAGAAATGTTGATGGTGTTCATTGTGGTAAATTGGTTTTTGAAAGTTCTTCTCCTACCTAAGACTATTTGTCATATTTTTATATTATTCATAGATTTTAGTTATGTAAGTCATTTTACTAGCAGATTTCACAACATTCTGAGGTGCTGATGTTTTATTAAATTTGGATGAAAATGAAGTCTTTTTGCAGCTACCAGTATAAATGTCTTAATTGTGAGAATGAATAAGCAAAACAAAACTAAACTGAAAATGTCAGATTGAGGTGTAGGCAGAATCTAGGAACTATTAATAAAATGAAGTTTTTAGTTTCTTTTTTTGTTGCTTGAGATTACATTAAATAAAAAAAAGCAAACACAGTACATATACTTAGCAAATGACACAATCTTTAAAAATGTACTTTTACTAATGGTATCCTTGAATGATCTATTCCATTTTTGTTTATCCAAAATAATATAATAATGATACAATAATAGTAAGTAATAAATAATAGGTGGTGATCATCCTCTACCACTTTCCCCCAATTCTATTACATAAGAAAAACAGCTTCTTTTTCCATTTCAATAGTAAGAGTTTGTAAAATTAATTTTATTTTCACTTGCTCGGAGTTGAGGAAAATTAAAACATCAGCCTGCCAAGTTTCATTTTTGTCCTATTTTTAGTTTCATCTCAGTACATTTATCTGGATAAGAAAAATAAATGGTCTTTCAAGAGCTCCCTAAGAAACCCATCTTCCCTTGACCTCTCTTGCTCTTGACCAATATGGCTTTTTTCCAGCTTCTTGTCTTTAGGCCTTCTGGTCCTTACATTTTGGTTAGGATGCAAGACAATTCCACAGGCCTTCTCTTCCACATGATCATCTTTTTCCCAGATATCACTCATATATTGTTGCTTTTTCAATTGCAGGCATTTGACCCAGTCAAATGTTATACCATTCATTTGCATTTGTCCTCAAAGCAACCACACACTTGTGCTTAATTTACCGGCAGAAGTCAGATCCTAACCTGTCTTTCTCCTGTGCTGGGAGAAAGCAAGTTCTCTGGTGGCTGCTTTGAAGCTCGAGGTTAGAAATGCTTCCATTGCCATTTCTTTAGATGGGCATGAGACTCATCTACAATTGTCAACAAATGAACAGCTAATTAACATAGTTGTATAATGATGAAGGGTTTGCAAGACCTTTAAATAAGTTTTTTTGAAAGCCTGCATATGGGGTTTTGGAATGTTACATCAATCAAGCTTACTATCAACTTGAAACATTAATGTTGACAACTTTATACAGCTAGTAGCAGAGATAACCATTACTGACAAGGAAAGGAGATGATACATCCCTTTCTTTCTGTGTGCCTGTGATGTGAATATATGATCCTACATTTTCCCCACTAGTCACTTGATTTAATCATCATAGCTCTGTCAGATTGAGAATAACAATCCCAATTGATAGAGAAAGAAACTAATTTTCAAATATTAAAAATTTCAAGGTCATATTAATTCTGTGGTAATAGAAATATCTAATTGAAAATCTCCTTCTCCCTACACCACCAAAAGTGAGACTTATAACCCACTGCCAGTGTCAATGTAGGACTTCCCCAAGTTTTTCTGTAATTGGTATCTTCTTTTTGCAACAGTAAATATCTAAGGTAATTCCTACTACTAATAATTTTCAACAGATCACATAATCTTATTTGGCTAGATCTTAAAATACATGTTTAAATTTTTTTTTCAGACAATAGATTTTGAAGGTTTCAAGCTATTCATGAAGACATTCCTGGAAGCAGAGCTTCCTGATGATTTCACTGCACACCTTTTCATGTCATTTAGCAACAAGTTTCCTCATTCTAGTCCAATGGTAAAAAGTAAGCCTGCTCTTCTTTCAGGTGGTAAGTTTACTTACTTTAAAAATTTATATACAGTAAAAATCTCAAAAGCTCAGTCAGTGTCAATTGTTCATAAAGGTGAAATGATAATTTGATTAAAAATTTCTGTTATATGACTCATTGTAATTTTGTAAATTATTTAAAATATTGAAACTTAATGTTTAAAATCATGTGCTTACTACCATTATACCCTCATAGTTTTAGATTTGTAACTTCAAAACTGTTTTGATTTTTCTCTTAGACAATTAAATTTTTTGCACTATAGAGGTGGTTGGTTCTCTCATTGTGGGTAGCTTTTTAAGATGTGTAAATGCATTAATACCTGTTGGTAACTTATCAATCTCCACCCAGTCAGGAAAATAGAAATTTCATTATATTACACAAAAGAATGTAAAATAGGGAATTGACTAAAAGGTGTTGGAGGATGGAACAAACAAAAAGAGGGAAATAAGGTAAGGTAGCTAGAACCCCAGGAATCAATTTCTGCCCTAGGTTGGAGTCATCAGGACCCAGAAGACTAGACTTCTGAACTGTGACACAGTTCTGAGAGGAGAGCTTTGTCTGACAGATCTAGTTCCGGGTCTTTTGTGGAGACGGTGCTTCTTGACTGGCGTTTGTAGATCAGGAGTCCAAGGAGAGGCCTGTGATCCTGCACCTCAGACCTCTTTTGAGAGTGCATTAACCTGGTCAGTGTTAATGAGCTGGAAGCTCATTGTGCTCTCAATGGAGAAATGTAGTCTTTCAGAGCATTTTTCACTTTTTGATCTAAGGATCTTTTTGAGGTCTTTCAAATGATTGAGTACCTGCCTGAACTTTATTCTGTGTGTGACATTTAGAGGAAACATTCTAAACTGATGTGATGGGGTATACCTATAATCCAAGCAGTCCAGAGATAAGAATATCATGAGTCTGAGGACACTCTGTGCTACAAGCAAGTTCCAGGCCAACTTGGGGTACATTTGACTCTGTCTCAAACAAAACAAAACAAACAACAAAAAAAGATGAAACCTTTTAAAAATAATGAAAATTAACCCATCACATGGTAAGAAATCAATCTATTTAAAAAAAAAATGACTGAGCAAATCCAAACTAACATTGAAGTATGGTTCTGTTTTACATCTTTGTAAACCTCTTCAAAGCCTAGCTTTATTGGAAAAACCTGGATAATCATATTTGCCCCTGTGTTTCTGTTGTCATATCATATCATGTGGCCTCTTGAAAACTTCACTATTTGTCCACAAGAGAAAAAGAGAAAGAAAAAAAATTCAAGTATTTATTAGTACAATTATGAAAATTATTTTGATCTTACAAATACCAAGAAAGGAAGCCAGGATTTCTAGGAGAGCCATTGGTCTGAAGAGTACTAACCTAGAATATAGCAATGCCAGCAAAGATACGAGGAGAAGTTTAATACTTGCACTGTGATAAATAAAAGTTTTAAAATATGCAATTAAGAAATAGGTGGATAAACCATAAATAAGTTTAGGCAATCTGTAAAGTGTTGAGATTTTTTACTCCTTATGTTGTAAGGCTTTTTTCTCTGCTAATGACATATTTTTTCCAAGAATAATATCATGTTAGTAAAAGCTTTTCAAAATCAAGCTTTCACATAATAATGCTTGAGGATGTATGACAACTAGCATGCTTACATAATTTTTCTCTTCTCATAATATATTTTCTGTTTTTTAAGTAATCCTGATAAAATTGTGGATTGAGATGGCTCATCATACTTGCTATTTTTATCAGCCTAAGTCTCAATATTGGACCTTAAATTGTGGTATCAGAGCTACATAGTGGTTTGGACTGAGCATTTTGATATGAGACAATCTCTTACATTAATCTAGAAATTAAAACTTTCCCAGTTCTTTCCTCATGCTATAATTTATTACATACATCTTAAACTGAACAAAATAGCAAAGTTGACCTTTATGTAATTTTACATGGAATAATACTCCCCTTGAGTTTTGTGAAAGAAAAAGGAACATTTTATCTATATCAGATAAATGTGCTTGTATCAGACATGAAAGAAAGAATTATTCTAATAACTTTGGTGATTTTATGAAGAATTAATCTCAGAATTCCTTTTCTTCTAAGAACATACATTAGGAACTAAAAGAAGATGTTAAGTTTAGCAGGAGTAAAAATCAAACCAGATTTCAAAATATGAAAAAAGAAGGTCATGTTTTCTCTTAAGATGTACTGCTTTTGGGTCAGTCTCATATTCTGTACAGACCTACTGGAAAGGAATACAGGCTGTGTAACCCTCTTGAAGCAGTAATAAATTAACTCTGACTCCTTTCAAAGCTTGACCTCCACATTTTAGACTCAAGTGCACAATGTCCTTCTCAGGACTCTTTCTATCCTACATTCTTTTCAGCCATACCTTTGATAGTTTTTCCTGAGGAACAAGGAACATTATAACACAATAAAATTTTCAGGCTGAAGTATCCTTAACTCAGAAGCTGAAAAAGTAAGTTTCTATTCCTAGAACCTTGGTTGATAATAGTCTTGTCTCCATAAGATATATTTGTTGATTCCCATAGTTCATTACTATGATACCAGCAGAAATATGATAGCTGCTCAAATTACTCTAAATATCAAGTGAAAAATAAGAGTTTCCCAGCAGAGAAATTGAAAAAGGGAAAAAATGTTGTCATTAATAAATAGCAATCAAATATAGAGATAATAAAAATAAAACATTTATTTTTTCTTAGCTAAAGTTTAAAAATTATAACCAGGCATAAAGTTTGTTTATGCATGAATGTGTGCATGTGTATAGCTATGATTGTTTGACTTGGAATAACTGATGATCCATCTGGTATTTCATAAAGTAGTTAAGTTATTTCTGCATAATACTTAGTTGCAATGTAAGTTCCTCTCATCACTTATTTAGATGTGAGATGATAAACTCTATTGTTCTCATTTGGACTTCTGTTTTTTAAAATAAATCCTTAATGAAATATCTGTTCAGCTTCCTAAACTGATGTGTCTTCTGTTTCTTTGTAAATGCCAGGTACCTAGTCTCTCACTTCTCTGCTAACACAATGACCAACTTCTTTTTTTTTTTTTTTTTTAATTTATTTATTTATTTTTTCATTTTTCTTTTATTATTCATATGTGCATACAAGGCTTGGTTTATTTCTCCCCCCTGCCCCCACCCCCTCCCTTACCACCCACTCCACCCCCTCCCGCTCCCCCCCTCAATACCCAGCAGAAACTATTTTGCCCTTATCTCTAATTTTGTTGTAGAGAGAGTATAAGCAATAATAGGAAGGAACAAGGGGTTTTGCTGGTTGAGATAAGGATAGCTATACAGGGCATTGACTCACATTGATTTCCTGTGCGTGGGTGTTACCTTCTAGGTTAATTCTTTTTAATCTAACCTTTTCTCTAGTTCCTGGTCCCCTTTTCCTATTGGCCTCAGTTGCTTTAAGGTATCTGCTTTAGTTTCTCTGCATTAAGGGCAACAAATGCTAGCTAGTTTTTTAGGTGTCTTACCTATCCTCACCCCTCCCTTGTGTGCTCTCGCTTTTATCATGTGCTCATAGTCCAACTTCTGATCTCATTTCCATCCTAAGAGTCTATCACTTGCACTACTATCATTATAGACATTTTCAATGAGAAGTTCTCTTTTTCTGCAAGTGGAAAGAATCTTCAGGACTCTTGATTTTGCCAGGCTTTCTTTCCCCATCCAACCTACATGCCATGTCCAATACTTACAATGTTGTGACCATCATTTGCTCTGGAACAACAGTAGTGACTTCCTGGTGATCCCACTCCAGTTCCATTGAGTCATGAGAAGCCCACATTCATTCACAGTCATCTCAGCTTTTGCCTGTCCTTTCTATCTCCTTTCCTTACTTATTTTTGCCAATAGTACTCATCATCATCTGACATATTATACATATTTGTCTCCCCCCACTAAGAGTTTGCTGTAGTTTGGATCTTGACATCCAAAGGCCCATATGTTAAAAGCTTGGTCCCCAGGTAGCATTATTGGAAAGTGGTGAAAACTTTAAAGGTGGGGCCTATTGGGAGACCTTTGAGTTATTGCAGGCATGCTCTTGGTGGGAATTATGGGACTGCAGTTTCTTCCTTTGTCTCTCATTTTTCTTCCTGGCTACAAGATAAGCAGGTTTGCTCCACCACACACTCCAGACATAATGTGCTGCCTCACCAAAGACCCAAGCAACAGTACCAATTGATAATGGACTGTGAGCTAAAATAAGTCTTTTCTCTTATAATTCAATTATCTAAAGTATTTTGCTATAGTGATGGAAAGCTGACCAACACAAATTGTAAATAATCATGAGAGAAAAGATCTATTTGGTCACTGTTGTATCCCCAGCAAATTGAACAGTAAATTGCACTTTGGAGGAAGGTAGACATCTTAGAAGGAGTGAGAAGTCTTGGCCATGCCTTGACTCCAACTGGGTCAGTGCAGATGAACAAACTATAGAACAGCAGGAGAAGAGAGAAAGGAAGCCAGACACTGTGGGAAAGAGTTCAGCTTGTCATGCTAAGTTATGAGTTCTGTCCAGAAGAAATTGGAGAGTCATTATAAGAGTTTAAGCTAGAAAATAATCACACTGCCAGTGATGTAGAAGTTATTATTAAGAGGGATGAGTATGAAGGAATAAAAGGGTCCAGAAGATATTTAAGATTGAGAATAATAATAACTATCCTTGAAAAAAGTTAATGTACCTTTTCTTTGGTTCTCCATCCTTGATTTGATAGAGCAAAATACTTACTAGATTTGTACTGTGAATCATGCATATTAACAAGCTCCTGTACCCAAAGCAAAATTCCGTTCATTTTCTTTCCCATGAAACCAGTTACACCACAAAGTACTTAATTTTTTCTCCATAAGGAGGTGAGTGAATTAAGAACAGAAAATTGTATAGTGAAAACCTTTGGAAAAATGTTCTTTTGTCAAATGATCTTGGAATGCACATTATTAATTGTCCTGAGGAGAAACTATTATGCTTATAAGGACTGCTTAA